TGTATCATGTGTATTATTTGATTGTTGTAATTGTTGTGATTTGTATTGATTATGTGATACCCTGCATCAATTCAGCCGTGTACAGGCTGCGACTGCACGGGTACTGTTTGGACAATAAAAACCATTTATTATATTGTGATTGTGAGTACAGTTGCTTGTCTGGACACAGTTTGATGTGGAATGTAATTGTTATACTCCCTACATCTCAAGGCTACAGGTTAGCTTATATAACAATCTGACAACCTATCTGACTATACTATACTACAAGAGGAAATTGTGGTGCTCCACTAGTCACTAGTAGTCAGCTGCCCCACAACATTTTGATGACTAGGTTGTACCCGTGATGAACAACAAGTATAAGATTAGAAGTCCTGACGGTGACCTGTACATGGCTTCCTCCACCCTGGGACCCTTGGTCGTACTGTGGACAACATCGTCCAGCTGCATCATGATATCAGCGCCGATGGAGTTCTGGATCGCCATGGAGTGTTCCGGAGTTAGTAACATCTCACGTCCATCGTGAGGAGACTGGAACTTCACTCCCTCCTCCGTGATTTCCGCAAGCTTGAGTAAAGAAACCATTTGGAATCCCCCACTGTCCTGCAAAACAGTAGGAATCACATGTAGTATAATATTGTATGATGGTGAGATCTAGTAACATCTGTGTCCATAATATCACCAGGGTCCATAATATCGCCACCTTGAGAAAAAGTGTGTACAAGATTTTTCATGATTTTAACATTAAAAGTTCTGTATAACGTTACATATAATGTAAGTCTTCATTACCATCTTTCCAAGTGAAATGGACCTAATGAAAAGGTGTGCAAAAAATTTTATAACTGCAACAGCTCACATTTTAATTGTCTCCATTATAAGTTGGTGGAATGGCACAATCATCAACTTACTGTTAGAAGCGCCCTCTTCCAGTTCATGAAGTTGTGCAGGCCGTCAGCCTTGTCCAGCAGCTCTGATCCCTGGTGGGATAAACACACATAATTTAAATATCATTGCTATGGAATTTTGAAATTATGACACTAAGTGTCACAGTATTTGCGCTGATAAATGGACATAGATATTTGTATCTTGTCACTATTTTTTGGTCTGCTATCACAAACAGTCCTGTAAGTCGTGTTGTTGTTTTTCGTTCGAGATCATGTTCTGCTTTGCAATACAACACACTTAAGAGAAATTACTTGTTAGTGTATGTAAAACACCCACTGTTGACGACTAATGACTAGACAAGGCTCTGCTCTGTACCTACCGGTCTCATGCCGAGATGGTAGGTGTTTCCCAGGATGATCTGACAGTCCAGTTCTTCCAGCTGCGCCGGTAGCATGCCTTTCAGCGTGCCCTGAGTACCGACGGGCATGAACACGGGCGTGTCCACCGTGTGGTGCGGCAAGACGAGCTTGCAAACCCGAGCTTTACTCGTAGGACACTCCGACAAAATTTTCAAACTCAGTGCATGCTTGGCGGCCATTTTGGAAGTCCCCATTCTAGTAAACTTTTGTAACTTTTGATTATCAACTCAATATATCATACAAAGTCATTTCTAATGCAAGCTATTATATATATCATACATATTAGTTGATCGCAATTTTTATTCTAATCATAGGCATCAAAGAAATTATGTAGTTTGGATTTTTGGAAACCAAAGAAACACCCCTTTTCTGAAATGGACGAATCTATCCGGAAGTCTCGTCTGAAGTCCCGTTATTTGCCGGGCTCTCGCGAGACGTGCAGGGCTAGGATCGGGATGGCTGCGGAGGGTGAGTGCTTGCCGGTTTGGGGAGAAGAAAACCTGTATTCCGACCAGACCACGCGGTGGAAACCCATCTCCCTCACACATGTGGAGTACGAAGAAGGTGAGGACGACTTTTCCCACGTTTTGCAAGAGACCTGGCGCTCGGGGAGCTCAGAGGAGCTCTGATTTGCACGTGGAAAAAAATTGGGTGTTGACACATGCACGTTTCGTCCTTTCCAAGAAGCCAGTTCAGGTGATGATCATGTAATCACTTCACCTGGACTATGATGTAATCCTTCATTCTAAATCCTCGTCTTTTTTCGAGATTTCACACATTTTGCACGGCAGGGATAATTTTACACAAATTACAGAGGGATTTTGCCCGCCCAGGATTTTGGTGCCAAACTTTGATCTAGGTGACATGCAGGGCATCTAGTGAGGTGATGCCCTTATATGGAGTGTTGACATCTGTCAATCATTGATGGAAGAACAAACTGTGAATGGTAAACTTGTGGTTATAGTCCCTCTCTTATCATCAATCAGTTAGAAATCACAACGCAGAACAGGCTTGGATCTTTAAGCTGTTTTTTGCGTAACGTTACGTAGTAACGTTATCAATTCACATAACGTTAATGATATATATAGTGGTATTGAATATTGTTAATAATTGTTTGGAAAGATATTGAGGTTTGTAATGAATAAACAGTTAAAGCCTTTCACATATAGACTTTAGTATTCCCCTCACTGAACAACCATACTTCATTAGTTAAGTGTCCTGGGCTGCCCTATTAAGGTGTGGCTGTGCAATCTATTTATAGCCATAGCAGGGCTAAAAATAGCAGTGTGTATTGGCACAAGGTCAAGCATGCCAAATCAGGGGGCAAGCTGCAGGGAAGTTATCAGCACCTTCTTTTCTTCAGCTGTGAACACTAACAGATGTTAGGGTTACTGTAGTGTGGAGACCAGGAATTTTCTTCAATAATACCGGTTTTATAACAAATACTTTCTCAGCTCACCACAACATTAATTATTATGACATCCAAGCACTACGATGTAAATTAAGAACTGTGTAAATTTGTTCATACATGTTTCAAAAAGAGAGAAGGGATCCTGTAGATATAGATGTAGCACAGCAATGTAACACTTGTTCCTTCTACCCTTGTACCTCAGTTATCTAACGTAGTGCATTTGGCCCATGTAGGACATGAATATGCAATAAAGTTCATTGTCATTAATTGTTATCATCTTTTATGAATTGACACCTGTTTTTATTATGTAGGACTGTCTCTTCATTTCGAATGCACCAGACCAGCTATATGTTAAATTGTTATATAGTGTTGGTGAATCAAAACACAGTAACACAAATTACTAAATGTATGTCTTGTATTTTTGCGATTGTCAGGAACATTGCACTGAATAGCGCCACCTTCTGCACTTACTTTCTGCTAATGTCTTGTCAGCAAAACCAAGGAGGTTAAAAGTCCAAATGATTTTGATGTCTAACCTCCTTGTCAAAGCTAAGGATACAGATGATTGTAGATCATGACTTTTGTGCAAAAAGTAATTATTGGACTGATGTTTACTACTGGTGACCCCTTCATGACCCCCAGCAGGCTGACATTGTGTGTTCACAGTGTCAATTCAACAAATGATGACAAATCTCTGACCTTTCTGCTACTGTTGTATGACTAATACTACTTCAATAAAAGATAGATGGAAAATCTGTTTTGAAACCACTGAAAATTTCCACTTACAAATCATTCCTACAACCATTTGTAAACAGATGTAGATTAAGTGTTTTGCATGTGTTTTTGCGTTATTTTTAGTCATGTACAGCACCTCCTATGTAGGAGAGGAAGAGATAAAAATAAGATGTGGACCACTAGAAATTATCAAACGTGTAAAATACTGACTCAGATCCACATTTGCTTGATTTGATTTGATTTGATTTATTAAGATTGCAGCAAGTACAATACTCGTGGGCCACAGGCAGCGGGGGCTGGTGTTGTGGCCCACACACAAAACAATCACAAGCACACAAACAAGACACACATTTAAACCTAGTATAAGTATATAAAATAAGTATAAGGGTACTAAAACAGCATAGATTAGAATACTAGTATATCAGTCCATTTAGCACTAGATACAGTTCATGCGGTTTCTAGCCGCCAGAATGTTCTCATATCTGGGGCCACGTCTCCGGGTCAACTGGTGCTTCTGTTGTGTGAGCAGGTGGGCCCGACACATGTTCTTAAATATAGTGATGCTGCGGGCCTCTCTAACAGACTGGGGCAGCTGATTCCACAGCCGTGACGCATAAGGCAGAAAACTGGCCTTGTACGTCTGTGTACGGCACCGAGGTAAGTGGAGGTGCGTTGCGTTCCGCAGCTGAACACGTGTGACCCTTTGGTCTCCTCGTGTGGTGGGAGTTAGTGGCTGGAGGTGAGGGGGGACTAGTCCGTTCACCAGTTTGTACATCAGAACCATGGAATGGAACTGCCTCCTGGTGGACAGACTGTCCCATTCTAACTCCTGCATGACGACACTTGATGGTGTACGTCTCAAGGCTCCGGTGATGAGGCAGCCGGCCTGGTAATGCACTCTCTCCAACATCTTGCTGGATGAGCAGGACAAGTCCCCGAGCAGTACAGCGGCGTACTCCAGTTTTGGTCTGACCATTGTGTTGTACGCCATTTCAAGTGCCTCCCGGGATAGCTTGCCCTGGAGTTTCCATAGGAAACCCAGGGTTCGCCTGGCCTTGCTGGTTGTGATCTGGACATGTTCGGTCCAGCGTAAGGTTTGGTGGATGGTTGTTCCCAGGTGGGTGTAGAACGGCACTTGTTCAACTTCCTGCCCTGCGATGTATATGGGAGGAAGCTGTACCTTGCTTCTAGGGGACTTGATGCAAAGTACTTTGCATTTATCTGGGTGAAGTTGGAGACCCCAGTCGAGGAACCAGGTAGATACCAGCTCGAGGTCGATGTTAGTTGTTCTGGCCACTACCTGGGCGGTTGGTCCAGACTTGGAGAGCGAGGTGTCGTCAGCAAAACAGTTTATATTGGAGGAGCAGGGGAGTTCTTTTATGTCGTTGATGAACACAAGGAACAATAGCGGGCCTAAGATGCTTCCTTGTGGCACGCCAGCCTGGGTGCTTCCCCAAGTAGATGCAACGCCATTGATCACAACACGTTGCTGACGTCCGGCAAGATAGTCCGCAAACCAGTTGTTCAGGGGCCCCTTGACCCCATAGCGGGACAGTTTATAGATGAGGCCATCATGCCAGACGGTGTCGAATGCTCGACGGACATCCAGAAAGACAGCAGCTGAACAGGAGGTGTTAGGGTCATCTATGGACTTGGCCCATTCGTCTACGAGACGCAAAAGCTGCAGCACTGTACCATCCCCTTTCTTGAACCCTGACTGGTTGATGTTGAACAGATCCTTGCTTGGAGAATATACACTTGCAGTTTCATTACAATTCATCATAGGCTTCTGGAGAATTGGAATTATTTTTTCATACATGATTTTGATCTTACAATTTTACTATCTTACTAATTTCAACTTAGCAATCAATCCACTTACAATCTAAAGCATGGAGTGAATGTGATCTTTATGATATTGTATTTTTTGATTGACAGGAGACCTAATCGGCAAGGGTCTGGCCTGGTGCAGTCTCACACCAGTGTTTATCTTGGTGGGGTTTGGGACTCTTCTGTTGTTCAGAAGAGAACTACATACTGTAAGTACATGTTGTGTGCACAGTTTTTATGTGTATGTATTTTGTCCTAAAATATTCATTGGGAATTTAATGCATAGGAAAGTGGTCAGCCTCTATTCTCTAATCAACTTTTCTCTCATGCTAGGGTTAGGGGAAACCATGAATAAGTAAAAGGTGTACATGTGTGTCTTACTCTGTGAAAATTCACTACTTCACTACTGACAGTTATTATTTCAGTCTCAGTTTTATTCGGTTCTCTGATAATTCAGATACATTAAATTATGCACAAGTAAGGTATATTAGGTATAAATGTACCACAGGAAGATACCAAGCATTTTCACACCAATAAATATGAAACCTCATGAAGAATCATTAGATCATACACTGTTGCACCATTTTGAATAATTGAAGACAGACAAAGGAGCTTATTTGCTATTTTTACACATCTTTTTATGGTCTGTGTAATATGGATGAATGTTTTTTTATATGTGCCTGTAACAGTTGTAATGTTGTCTTGATGTAAGACCAAGACAAAAAATATGGTTATCAAACCCAGCTTTTCTGTCCCATACCTGAATGAATTTGTTATTTTTATCATTCTAAGTTAAATTAAAATATGTGGGTTGTTTCTTTCCAAAATTGCCTTCTTTTCAGGGAGGGAAGAAAGAAATTGATCATGCTTCCCAGCAAGGTTACCAGCAAATGTTCAGTTTTGAATTACATCCAGCCCCTGATCTTGCAGACACACTTGAGCTGCCCTGATTAAATATTAAGCACCAGTGCCAGACATCTTCAGTTCACAGTTGGTCTAAAAATAGTCTTTGGTGCTAAATATAGAATGCCAGGTGGGGCGTCTTCACTGCAGACTGTTAACAGATATATACGAGCCCCTGAGTGCCAGAATTACTGTAAATTCATTGCAGTTTGCAGGGACTCACTGTAACTTCATGGAAGGAGGGGAGCAGAGGTATTCTCAGTGCCCTAAGATTGCGGTGGAAGCAAACATATTACACAAAGACAGAATGTGCTCACAGTGTAATAATTTTGCTGTGCAAGGTCACATCAAATAGTTCGCGATTTACGGTACATGTGTACTTTCACATAGCCATACTACTTTTTTACTAGCCAAGTGACATGGCCTTTTTCTTCTTTTTTCCTGTTTTTGTAGATATCCTTTCTAGCAGGCATCCTCATAAATGAAGCTGTTAACTGGGTACTAAAGCACCTCATCCGTGAACCCAGACCATGTAGAGGTATGTACAATCATTAACATTTCTGCTTACAACCTGCCAATATGGTAAAATTATATCCATCTTATTTTAATCTGGTTCACTTCAGAATAGTCTGGCTCCTGTTCCTATTTAAATGCTGGCCTCTTTTATTGTCCATACTTATTTTTGGTGCTGAATATTTCTCATAAAGCAATAAAATGTGAATTATGAGGACCCTGTGTCTGAGCCAATCAGAGCTTGCATTTAATTGTTTGATTAATTGACATATATATACATTATTTATATTCCAAAAATGCCTAAAGCTTGTCCAAAATAACTAGCATGCAGAAATTGCCGTATGGAGCTGAGTTAAGTGTTTTCCATTGGGGCAGGAGAAGAGAGGAAAATTCAAACAGATAGCAAGACATACAAACACTATAAAAACATAAGAACATTACTTACCTGAATCTCACATCTGCTTGTAGATTATGGAATAATGAACAGAAAGAGTAGATGAAGTACTTGTGTTACATCTCTAACCATATAACTGTACTATACTGATATTCTGTTTCTAGGTCACTCTGTAGTCTTCAGTGAGTATGGGATGCCATCTAGCCATGCACAGTTTATGTGGTTCTTCTCTACATACATTGTCCTTTTCCTCTATGTAAGGTACGAATTCAACACTCTTGCATCTTGCCATTGTCACAATCTTGTAATGATTTATTAGACTACTGATACAATGTACATACAGGACTGACATATACATGTATATTTTTATATTTGATATGTGTAGTATTAACCTGTTGATTTATATTGGTGCATTTGCCAGTATATTTTGTATCTTCCATTATTATATTCAGACTGTTAAAATTGATTATATGATTATATTCAAATTTTGCTTAAAAACAATTTTTCCCCTTTATTACCCTTCAGACTACATCAGTCCTACACCAGCACTCTACTAGAAAACATGTGGAAACACTTAACAGCAGTCGGGGTCTTTCTGCTATCCATGCTTGTATCCTATAGTAGGTAAGTACAGCTGCTATATATAGATGATCCAGTGAGGTAGCTTCTATATGAGACAACTGTTAGACTAAGTCAGCTAATTGAATCTCAAGTGTAAACCAATTAGCACTCTCAAGACATTCATAGATGGCTATGGCACAGTTGGATAGCCAATCAGCACCAAGGACATGTCCTCATAAGGCCAATGAGCCATTCTTGACGTTTCAGTGTAGTAGGTCCAAATTGAGACAACTGTTAGACTGTCAGCTAATCAAATCCCAAATCTAAACCAATTAGAACCCTCAAGACATTCACAGATGGCTATGGCACAGTTGGATAGCCAATCAGCACCAAGGACATATCCTAAAAAAACATTGAGCCATTCTATTTCTGTCTTTTTGATCTTCAAATCCAAGAAGGTGAAAGCAAGCCATTTTTAAAATTTCTATATTCTTACAATACAATTATAGCTACTTTCTTGTAAGATAAGTAGCAATTTGTATGTGTGCCTATAGTATAGATAGAGAATGCAGTAAAAGTTCAAAAATAGGTTCACTGCTATTGTGGCTATGACAAAAGTTGTCGCTTACATCAGCTTCTGTTTGAATTTTTGTCAGGGTCTACCTTCGCTACCACACCACAGTGCAGGTGGCAGCAGGTGCAGTAGCAGGCATTCCTCTGGGCATCGTCTGGTTTGCCATTGTACAGGTGAGGCAGGTGCATGTGGACATTGCCTTTGTGAAACCAGTAATGTACTCTGCATTGCACTTCAACAGAACGTCTTTTCAAATGTTGTATTAATGAAATGTATGAAAAGATATCGTCTGCAATGGGTAAAATTCTGATGTTGACCAAACATCCAACAAAAACAATGAATTCATCAAGTAGAATTTTCTCTGATAAAAGATTTTTCTTCTGGTAATTCTGTGTATGAACCATTGCCCAGTATTCCTATTTGTGATAGCTAATAGGCTTGTTATTTTGTCATTTGTTCAGCTGGCATTGACTCCATGGTTTCCCATGATTGCTGCATGGTAAGTACCACATTCTTGTGGAATCTCTATCTTCCTTTCCAGTTTATTTCCTTTAGTTAGCTCTTGCCAAACAGTGCATTTAGTGAAAACTAAGCAAGGGCAAAGTGACAAAGAAGACAGATGCTATGTACAATATTTAAGGTTAAAGTACATGTAGTTTCAGTCCATGGAATTTATTCCTTGTTCTCTTTTCAACAAGTACAATCAACAGTGATAGCATCCTAAGCCAGTAGCATGCATGTCAGGTAAGCAAAAAGCCATGCAGGATTCAAACCCTCAACATCTTGATCCAGATCCAGTGGACTACTAAAGACAGAATACGGTCTGATAAGGCTAGTCTCTACCAGGCCATATAATTAGTGTTCTGACTAGTGCGTCTGTTTCTAGGCCAATCTGTGAACTGTTCATGGTTCGAGACTCCACACTCATCCCTAACATCCTGTGGTTTGAGTACACTGCAGCAAGAGCTGAAGCAAGGTGGGTAATGTCCCTTACGATGGGCTGTGTACCTAAATGTATAATGTCAGAGCTTTAGGTACAGACTACAAAGGTTATTAGATGTATTTAGGTACCAGACCTGTACTTATACCTGTACAAAATCAATAACCTGTGGTCTTCAATGATAACAAACAGTAAAAAGAATCTTTGTTTGAACTTTTAGTATCTTACACAAAGAACGTGTACTATCAAATCAAGGATTTGTTTAGGTACATTGACATTTGACAGTTTGAATTTGTATCTATAAGATTTTCCTGGTATTTTACCGATACCGAGAATAAAGCCCTATTCTTGCAGCATGTCTTCTAAAGCATGTCTTCTGTTATCCTATGTGTATTTCTTGTTCTAAAGACCATGCACATTATGTATCGAATATCCTTCTAGGACCAGGCATCGCAAGTTGGGGACCAAGTGCCAATGAAGAAGTGGCGCACCACACATGGAGACATCTCCCAAGACAACGGATCATCATAAGGCTTGTGTTGTGGTTTGGTTAGGTGTTAAGCCTTGGTGCAGCATGCTTAAAAAGTCTGCCAAAGGCTTGTTTAAAAGTGATCAAGGCTAGCATCTTCCAACAACGCCAGGACGGCTTGAACAAGTAGTGGTGTATGGTGCATCAGTATCAAATTCTGCAGGGGGAGCAGACCCTGGCATGTGTGATGAGTCAAGGAGAGAAACAAGTTTTTTGTGAAGCTTTTTAATAATTGACAAATTTACCTTGGTGGATGTAAAATCACATCATCAAGGGGAAAGGAAACAGATATTAAAACATCGGGTCAGGCAATAAATTTAGGATAATAGTCAGTAAATGGGCATTGTGTGAAAATTTTGTTTATTGCTCGAAGGTGACTATTTGATATCTCCAAACAGTATCACTTTTAAAAAGTTTTATAAGTAATTTTGCAGACTTTGTGGAAAATATCTGCTGGCAATTTCCTTTTTCTTTGACGAAGTCTTGGTATGGTTCTATCATGAGATTGATATTATTGTTTACATTATCAGTAACTACAGACATTGCCAGATTTTAAGTTTTTAGTGATAAAAATCATCTGTGAATAAATGCAGTTCAGCATCTCAGTTTAGGAGTTAGGTAGTTTAATGCTTCTCCATTTTGCCACAAGAAAATGAAGCGCTAAATTGCTGCATAGTTTACTTAGACCAAATGTGGGCATCAGAAATCGGCTCTTAGAAATGGCGACCAAAAAGGCACAAAGAGATTTACGAATGTGAACTGTTTCTGGTGTCAGATAAGACCAGTTCAAATGAATCCATTCCACAATAAAATGGCTACAAAGAAGAACTAGTTGTGAACTGTAGAGACAAAATAGTCGTTTGTAGCTGTTATTATTGAGGCATTTAATATATGCCTGAAGAAGGGCTATTGTCTACATTATAAACTTGAGTTAGGAACTTTCTTGGTACCATTCCAGAATCAGGGTAAACCTTCACTGCCTTTTAGGCTTTGTACTTGACGTGAGAGTAGATGAAGTGAAGTGCGATCACTCAGGGCATTGACCTGGACCTCTTTTGCCACATTTCAAATCGTTCGGGCACCAGAGATGCCTTTCTGCTGTTGGTGGAAGATGCTGCAATGCTCAGTAGGAAAACATTTGAAAAGCTGGCTCCGCCCCTGAGGCGTCGCCAAAAAAAGAGTGTAAAATAAAAAAACAAATCGCTGGAAGCAAGCCAAATCCAAGAGGCAGCTAAGGATGCTCCTTCTTGGGTCACCTTGAAAGCATTTACCTACGAGAGGGACTTGCTAGGGAAAATTTACACACATCCCCTTTTGTGGTACATGCTGATCTCAAAGAACTGAAAGGTTTTTTGCGCCAAGCATTTCCAACATGGCATCCATGACAGTAGGAGAGTAGTATATCTTTTGTGTGCAAATACGTTCCTTGCCATTCTGATCATTGATGTTGTGGGGTTACTTTGCAAGTTGGGCCAAAATTTGCACTCAGGACACATTGAAGCCACTCCGTGGATTGTTGGTGTTGCATTTTGCCTGCTACATGCTTATGTGCTGGTGTAGTATGCAAGGAAAGAACTATTTCAGTAAAACAGGAAACCTAGTCATAGCAGTAGTAGTAGTATCCAGTGTTTGATTATACTGCTCTTGAGGTCCCTGATACGGGTGGGCAGCAGCTGGCTAGTCTTCACACTGCACCTCCAGGCGGCTCTGTCCAGCAAGATATATATCATATATATTCCAGAACAATGTGACTCAGTGGTTGTGTGCAACTGTTTCATGGAGAACATGTATCTTCATGTGAAACGTTTTGCCCTTACTTAATCCTGTTGTAAAGGAAATGGAAAGGGAGCAATGTTGGGGGCATTTAGTGCAGCTTCTGGCATCTTGGAGTGAATTTTTTCCAAAATTTAAAAGAATACTTGAGAGAAAAGTGAAGCAATTTCTCAGTGTCTAACTTTCTAAAGAAATGTCGGCAGTGTGTTAGAAATAGATGGAGGTCTGCCTGCCTCCACGATTGGCAGTTGGCAGAAGCGGTTTCATGGCTCGAGCTGGTAAATGTGTGGTGTGTTTTGGGTACTAAGTTGAAGTCCCCTGGGACATAAACAAAAAAATGTCTGGACATAAAACGTGATGCGTTTTCTTTTATGCCTTAAGGTCTTCAACTTTGACATAGTACCCACAATGCATCACATCGCAAATGAGCAGTTGGAGATTATGAACCCACTTATTGCACAAGAACAATGATAGCATGAACAGGAGATCTATGTAAAAGTCACATGGAAGTATTGGTTTGTCAAGACTTTTGTAAAGTACTCCAGTTGAGTTTTAAGAGTTCTCCAATTTTTCTACACCATATAGCAGGACAAATGAAAAAGACAACTGTGGTACAACTACATAATATATATATATATGAGGCTGAAATTTTTAACCATCTTATGCAAGTCGGTGTTGTATGCTTGTTGCAAATCATTTAATAATCCATTTGAAAGTTGATAATAGAAAATTTTTAGTAAAGACAATTTCAGGACAATACAATTCATTGTACATTTTTAGGATGCACCATACATACGTGTATGCCTTGTCATAGGTTTTTTCCCAATGTACATTTACGAACGGTCTCCTTTAGTTTGCATGATCAGCAAAACTTACACCACACCAGGACTATCTGTCCATTTTTGTGGGTAAAACATGTAGCTCAAATGTTGTTTTTAAACTTGAAGTTCAGTACATAAAAAAAGCTATTCCAGTATGTTTACTTGCATGCAGGTGACATCAAACCACACACTCCATATATACTGTATATACAATGGTCAGATACAATTGGTACTACCAAATACTGTTATTCACACACTATTCAGTTGTAATAATTGACATAACTTTGAAGCAAAGTTCTCTCTACCACAGAAACAAGTTTTGAGCACTGGGTATTGTTGCTAGTAACCTTTGAACTATCCATTATGTACATACATGACTCCCTACAAGTATAACTACAATGTTGTTTAATACACTGTTGTGCCAAACTGACCTTGAAAGTTGTGTATCTCTACAGTGGTGGGCAAGTATTGTACATGAAAGGTGTTGGGAGCATATGTAACACCTTTTCATTGTCCCATTGCATGCTGGGAGATGCAGGGCACCATGGGTAGTGCATAGGTGAACAAACATTACTAGTATTACCTTGACAAGTTGAATGCCATCCTCTGTTTGGTTTATATTATCTTGGTAATGATGTTTTCCCTCCGCATTACCCATAATGCCCAGCACCTCCCATCATACAATGGGATCGGTGAAAAGGTCTATGTGAGATGTGCAAACTGCTTGGATGTGGTGAAGTCCTTTTCACTTAAAAAGGTTGAAGAAATACTGTCAAATTCTGTGAACAACTACCTGGGATTGTAGAGTTGCAGATTGTTTTATTATGCCACCAGACAAACAGTATAACAATTTTTTGTAACATGTAGACTGGATCCATTCATCACCATATGGAAGCAGGCAGAACAATACTATAAAGCAGGCTACGCCCCTGAGGTGTCGCCAAAAAGGTTCCTTGAGATATATATATACATAAAATATAACCATTAGAACAGTCGCAACACTGAGAAACTTTTAAGATGTTTTCATATGATATGGGTTGCATTGAATTCACCGCATTTTGTACCAGGCAATATCAATTTTTCTATAATGATATGATCGTACATCTATAAAGTTGCATTGTTTTATTAATTGATTGATTGATTCTTTTAAGATTAGTTCTGCTGGATTTTTTGTAATTTAAGGATTTATAAGTCTTGCAATATTTTGGTATTCAATGTTATGTACTCCAAAACAGGGCTACAGACAATGATTTATTTATCAATAAATACTTTATGGTGCTGATACATATGTATTAGAATTCCATTTTCTTGATTACCTGTTTTTTTCAAAGATGAATAAAAGAAGGTAAAATATACTTTGTATTATAATTCTTTTAAAGCATGCTCTTGGTGTTATACAAGACCAATTGTACTCAGGCAGGAGTATTGTTAGTTTTATCCATACAGTCTAGCTACAACTCACGACCTCTTCACTGCATTGGTGTTTTGTTTGGAATGTCTTCTGCTAGTATGTACAAGATGATGATGCACTTTTTTTTTACACTATAGCAGTTTTTGTAGGTAATGTAATATTACAAAGTTAGTAGAAAGGTAACATTTGCAAAGCAAATGCACAATGTTTACCTTCGTACATGTATATGGTCTGCTCTGTTAATTCTTACTCAAACGCATTCATGTATAATATAATATATGGTGACAGGAGTCTAAATCCCTCCTGCTATAAAATTGCAACATGATGTAACCTAACACTAGTTACCATGGTGACAAATGTCTGATTCAGTCATTGACCTTATTTGTTTGGAGAAGAAGATGAAACAGAGCAAAATCAATATATTTTCCGTCAGTAAACATAAATAGTAGGTTATTTGTCAGCAGGTAACTGCATTAATACCTGGTCTACAGCTTAGCCTGGGTTTGCAGCAACTCCTGCATGTCCACCAGGCTCTGGTGCAGAGCATCGGCCAGCTTCTGTGTGTCTGTCTCCAGGCTACTGTTGAAGGCAGAGATACAGAAGTTGAGGTGGTCCTTGGCTGGGTTGTAGCAGACACCATACCCATCTGGTACTACTGGTCCAAAGCACAGCAATGAGTCATATTTTGACGGAACCTGTAAAACAAGTAGCCATAGTAAGATCAAGGACATTGTGTGTATAATGTCCTTGGTAAGATTAAGGAAGTCCATTCTACATACAAAACATAATTCGGCTAACAACTGTCAGAAGATATAACTTGACACATCACACATTCACTCAATATCCATCAATCTCTAAAACATATGTATACACTGTAAAATGCCACATTGACATCATACAACAATCAGTACCAACTGACATAGCCGAGAAAGAGAAAATCTCACTGAATCAGCTGATGATTTTATTCGCAATTCGAAGATGTATCGTGCAGGCAATTGTGTCTTAGAACTTAATATCGGGAAGAAAATAATTATATGCTCTCCCCCCAGTAATGTTGACCCATGCAAAGTTCAAGCTTGTTTAGTTGTACAGTGGAACCTTCTACTTTAGAAGAGGGGTGACTTGCCACACCTGGCTGGTAGAGAGCTTGAAGTGCACAGCCTGCTCGTAGGTACTGTCCACAAACAAGTCTGGCACATCTAATCCTGCCTCCACTGCTATCAATTTCAACCCAAGCAAATGCCTGTCAATTCCCTGGCCGCTAACTGTCTGTAAAATAACACAATGTATACAGGAAAAAATATTCATGATTGTAGCTTTTAAAGTTCAAATTCAAGTTCATTTTCTTAGCCCCTGGAAAATATGAAAAAGGGTTCAAGGATATATTTTCAAATTTGCTCTGAAAGCATAACAAACACCTACCTCCTGAGCATACTTCTTGTGACCTTCCACTGCTCTTCTCAATAAGGCCACTTTCTCAGAGGGCTGCAAATCAACAATTGAATGCAAAAAATGAATTAGGTGCACAACAAAATTTTTGGGAGTACCATATAAAGTAGAATAAGTACAAAGTCATCAAAAACTAAGTATGTTTCATTTCTAAGGAAAAGTACTATTATACTGATTTTGTTATTTTTTTGACACTTAGATGTTAATAATATGCTGTATACTACATTGTACTATACATTTGACATTTTTACATATGTAAACCTACGAAAATATTTGGGTGCACCCACAGAAAAAAATTGGGTGCACAGCTCTAAATTTGGGTGCACTCGCTAAGGTGCACACACACACAGTATTTCAAGCCCTGCCTAACCCTTCTCGGGTGAACTCAGTCCAGACATACATGCACACTGCTGTCCTGCATGGCTGTACAGAACTCCAGAGACTCCACAGAGGCTGACTGGATGGTGTCTGTTCTTCCCAGGTGAAACATCCGTGTGGACCCACTCTCGTACGTAGCACATGCAACTCTGTATACTCTGGATGAATCAATGTACACAACATTCAATTATGGCACACTGTCACAAGAAAGATGCAAGTTTTGTGTTTTGTAACCTACAAATATACGACGTTGTACAGTATAAGTTATATATTGTTTACAATGTTCCTGTACACCGCTGCTACAGGAGATCTGCATCGATTATGATTAATATATATGTAGAACAGAAGTAGATACTGACCTGTAGTAGGCTAACTGCATGGCAATCTGGATGTAGCTGTCTGGACTGAGTCTCTGGGACTTGGGGAAGTTCTTGCCATATGTCTTAAATCTGACAAGATGAAGGTCCAGGTCCTGCACTCGCCTGTGGAAAATCGTTATAGATTATCAAAGAGTTGTCTGCCTCTTTGTGACCCTTCAAAACTGCAACTAAGTTGAATAAACTGCATTAAGTTTAATAAAAAAAACCTTCGACTAATAAGTTGGTTCACAGTTTGAAAGGTCACGGGTGAAAGCCCCTAACATTCAAACAGTTCGTGTCCAAGAGTGTTTTGTTTACATCTGAGGCGCTGTTAACTTTGACATGTTGCTGACATTATGCATCATACTGCACACATGTGCAGTGTAAACTATGAACCAGCAAAATATAGACATTCTCCAGCTTGTCTATATATATATATATATATATATATATTACACAGCAGAAGCTGCTTACACATGCACCACACATTTGTTAGAGCATCTGATGCAATTATCCTAACTGGGCTGACCTCCGGCTTGTCCCAGCACTATGATAATTCCACCAAATGCTCTGACAAATGCCTGGTGCATGTAAGCGGTTTCTAGTGTACATTGATAGATTCATACTTACATGTCAAGGTTTCGCTTTGCATTGTCAATAGCCTCTAGTAAGCTGTCATTGAGGGAGAACACTAGTCTCTCAGGCTCCTTAGGCTGAACACTTGTCTCTTTGACTGCTGGGGCTTCAGAGCTATTGAATGAATATTAGTAATGCACACTCTTATGAGTTATAAATCATCTGTTAATAAACCATAATAAATCCTTGTTAGTAATGTTCATAATCTTTCATGCACAGTTGCAATCATTTGTTGAGCACCTTGATGGATAAATTGATGAGAAACATAATGTTAGGACAACATGCTTACCAGTAGTCCAACATGTGATCCAGTAAGGCAATGATAGGAGGTCCTTCAGCTGGAGAATGTTCATACACAATCCCTACGGCTCCGTCTGTACCCACAGTGAACTGTCAAAGGAAAGAGACTCTGAGTAAAGAGACTCTTGTGTGGCAAGTCTTTTATTCAGCCAACGTTCTGGTGACCTTCTGTCACCTTCCTGAGGGCAATTCTGACTGGTTCACATTGCATTGCAGCACAGGTGTCGTTGCTATAGATACATTCCCAAACGTGCAATATAGCATGCATCTACAGCAGCGACACCTGTGCTGTGCTGTAATGCAATGTGAACCAGTCAGAATTGCCCTGAGGAAGGTGAGAGACAGCTACCAAAACGCTGGCTGAATAAAAGACTTGGTTGTGTAAAAAGCGTCTCTTTACTAAGTGACTTACCAGCCTGATGAAACTATTTACGGAAAGAGACTCTCATTAGAAACTTCTTGAACAACAAATCAAAGACCTCTGTCATACAATAGTTTTTGAACTACATGTATATCTACTGCTATTTCCATTTGTTCAGGCCCAATCAGGCTAGTCCAAAAGGTTACTTTGTTAAGTACCTGTAACGTCTTGTCAAACCACCTGTTCCCACTGTTCTGTTGACTCCCTCCACCGTGCATCAGCTGATGCCCCATGCTGGTCCACCTGTCCTGTCCCCTGGCTGTCTCCTGATCCAGACACAGCATGAAGATACTCCTGTTCACAGCTTCCAGGCACAATTTGTTCGCTTTGTCTACAGGTTGGGGAGACAAAGTAGAGCACAAAATTGAAGATCTCATATCTTCAAATTTTGTGAATTTCTTGTTTAATTCATTATAATAATTTAATTGTGAATTTCTTTTATTTTTCATGTACATGTAGCAGCAAATTGGACACTGGAAATAGGATAAACTTTTCTGAGATCTTTTTTGGGACCTTTGACCTAGCTTCCTGTCCTTCAGTGTCCTGTTATTGCTGTAGGTTTAAGTCACTTACCTTTCCTGAGTGCCTTGTAGACTCTGCCCCAGGTGTCTCTGTCCCCAGTAGTAAGAATCCCTACAGGCACACTGGGATGTTTGGACTGACATACCACCCTCTGGAGCTGGGCATGGATCAGGTCTGCACTCAGAGGCTTCCAGTTATTATCGTAAACATCCAAACTGAAGAACTGCAAGCCAAATGTGCAACCTGTTACAATAATTGATCTCATAGATATCCTATCTAACTTACTGAGGCTCCCATACTCAGCAATTCTGGTAGCCTATAGCTACATACATGCAGGTGCAGGTAACATTTGGAATTACCTGCACCAGAAAACTTTACCTACACCACGCATATGCAGAATTTAAGAAGTTTAGATTTCAACACAGATAAATGAAACCATTTCATTATTTCTTTTACTGTCATTCAAAATGTAGTTGGTACCAGTCAATACACAAATAACAATCCACAACCCAGGACAACGACAAGGACCGATGCAGGTTTAACTAAGGTAGACATCAGAAATACCTGAGAGACCTCAATTTTACCTGCACTAACATATGCACTTATGCAGGTGGTACCGGTATTTCGAGTCCTTGATGGCAACCAGGTTAGTAGTGGTTTGAGGGTGCCTGACAGAATTCTGAGAGTTGACGTTGAATGAAAAATCTCATGCTGCGTGTAACTGACCTGGTTGTTGTGTGCCACTACAATGTGCCTGGGTCTGATGTCACAGTCAGGTCCGTACACCACCACCTGGTCACGCTGCTCCCCCGGCAGGCGACAGGCACAGAACAGTTTATAGTACTGGTCCATACACAGGGGCTGGGTCCTCGCAGTGTCTATGGGCACTGATTGGCTGTTAAGGAGTATATCATTCATCATAATGGACCATTTCAGTGCTATACTGCTATACCATTTGCTATACCAAGTGTGACGGCAATAACAATTGTCAAGTTGAAACTATCATAAGTAACACTGTAAACAATTTACTTTTATGATATATAAATGTATGAAACATTTTTGCAGGACAAATTCTGAATCAGCATTTTTATGGTACTTACTTGTCTATCTGTACTTTATAGTCCAACACACCAGCAACTAGCTTAGCAGCAAATCTGCAGGAGCAAAATGTGATGAAGAATTATGAGAGCACACTTCAGGATTTAATAATACCATTTATGTCCTACCTGGGCCGCGATAACGTTCGATACGGGTGTTCCGGCCCATGTGATAACTAGCGGTACGGCCCGGGGGTTCTTAACGCGTACGGCCCGGGCCTTCCAAATGTTCCATAGAATGATTCAAATGCGTTTCGGCCTAACCGCGTGCACCGATTTCGAAATTCGAATACAGAATCCGCACGTTGGAATTGATGTTGTCGCATTTTTTGGGTTTAGGGACACCAAATTTTTGCTCATTTCGCATTAAAAGGCGCGTTTTCTTGGGTGGGTATGACATAAATAAATACAACACGGTGTATTCCGCATCACCCTCGGTCCCAGCCCTCCCGCGGATCGGATCTCCCTCCAGCCTTCGGCCGTCGGGCGATCCGAAGCGCGGTCGGGCTGGTACCTCAGGCAATACGGAATACCCCGTGTTGTATTCTATATATACCTTCATCATAATACAAATTTTAACACTGAATTCTAAATCTATTATGCTGTTGTAATAATTGAATACCTAAATTCTCCTTCATACTTTGCTTAAGATATGATGGTAATATACAGTAATAAAAGAAGGATATGAAGTGGTTTCTTACTGAAGTTGCTCTGTCTTGCCATTGAAGTCCTGTGGTGGACATACAATCCCTGGGTTCACATGGATGACAACAGGCAGACGGTTGTCTAAATATGCCGTGTGAAGCCACCAATCATCAAGCTGGGGAGGAAACAGATAATATGTCAGAACATAGAGGGGTGGGAACATAGAAGTGTTGGAACATTAAGGTCTGCCTTCCAAATAATCTCTATGCAAAGTTTTTGAAGTCTGCATAAACAGACTGGCCACTAACCCAATTTTGTCTCTCTTGAGCCCTCCTCTGCAGTTTGGCCTGTAGACTCTCACCAAGGCCTCCTGGTTTCCCAAATTCTTCAACTAACTGGAATTGAGCAAAATGATTCAGTTATAGTATTAGCATTATAGCATTTTTACCGAATGAGTGTTATTATACTTTATAGGCAGATGCATAATTAATAGGGTCAGAAGAAGGAATGTCTTCCTTATACTACCTAGTAACTAACCAGAGTTTTGGACTAGTAAATTGAATGGAAGAAAAATCATTATGTAATTTATACATGTAAACGTTATGCAATTCATCAATTTGTCTATGAAAAACTGGCTAATTTTTACATGCATACCAGTGAGTCAAAGTGGTCTAACTTCATTGTACATACATGGTGTCAAAGAATTGCCTGTTTGATCTGTTTCCACTAGTACTAGAGACTATATTCTACTTACCTGTTTTGTTTTCTGAAAGGCATTGTCATCTACTAATGGTCTCACCACCTTGAGATATTTCTGGAGGGTCTGTGACAGGTCAGGCACAGGAAGCGGGGGCAGACTGGACTGGTGGGCGACTATTCGCCCCGGAGGTAGTCTGGCTCCGCGGAAAAACTCTGGAGCCTTCCATTGGTGATGGTGGGCAAGTGTCTTCTCCTGTTAGAAAGGAAATCGGTACAATCCAGTGTGTAAAATCCTACATGTAGGATTAAAAGAGGACCTGAATAATGAGAGAAATGGAATCTTTCTTCCCAACACTTTTTGATGTGGACCCTACTCCTATGTTACTACATGCAAGTCAGGTTAACCTAATCTTGCTACATGTGATTGTTACATCAATACATACATGTATGGGCGTCGGAGCACAGTACTGTCCCCTTAGGCATTACTGAACCATGCACAGAATTATAATCAACCAGGGCAGGTGTTCACTCTGTGAACAATGACTACATGCAGCCAAGGACACCTTTGTTCCAATTCTTGTGTACTGTCACAAGGTATTGGTTATACTATACACATATTCCAAATGTTTATATGTATGACAGTGTTGTCATTTATGTCTCAGAGTGTTATGACATTATCATATGATCCTGAGACTTCTTATCAGGAAGTTAAGAAAAAAGGGGATATCTACTCACCTTGACCTCGTATGGACTGTAGGAATGTTGCCTCACAAACCTCCTGTGCCTCCTGGGTTTCTGAACCAGTTCCTGTTTCATAGTCGTACAGTCTTCTGGACTGGCTGCCGAGTCAAACACGCTGTCTTCTGCATCATTACTATAACTTCGACTTCTTGTGGTAACAGTAAATGCCATATTTGTGGTACTTCCTGCCACATGTGTTATATCTTGGATCACACTCCTGGTGTGACTGTCTGTGTCTATCCAGTAGGACTCACTACCAGATGGGTGGGGTCATGCCCCCAAGCATAACAGAAACTTAATATTCATTATTCATGCCCAAATAAGGTAATGAAAGTTGAACTTAATCCAAGGAAGGTGTTATAGTACACATGTACATATAACGTAATATATATATATATAGGACACTGTATAACATACCAAGGAGGTTAATCATTACAAGTAACGTTACAGTATAAGTGAAATGTCATTGAAATTAAGATAAAAGATGACAATGCACACATTCATACTATATATATATTTGCTTTAATCATGAATCCTGCCATATCAATGGGTAGATGCATATACTGACGATATAGAGAAATCACATGGAGGGGGCAACTGCTAATTATAAATAAAGTTAACATTGTTGCCAAATTGAACTTTGACAAACTAAAGGACAAACCTGACAATTAGAAACAAAATCCACCCACTATTGCCCTGTTTGGTTTTGGAGGGCAGAACTTTTGTACTTCTGAACATCTTCTGAGACCAAAGATGGGGGTACAGGATGGACTTCTCAAGTCATGTAATTTAGGGACAAGCCATTAACACACTAGAATGCACGTGCAAAGTAATAATTTCTGTCACTATCTAGCAATCGCCTTTCAAAGGACTGATAAGGTAACCGTAAACATGGGTATTGTTTTCGTAACTTGCATGTAAAACGTCGTTTTCTTGCATAATATAAAGTTTATAATCTCAACCCTCCACCCTCCTCCTGCAATGTATAACGTACAACCCCTTAACCATGGTGGGCGATCTGCGCATGCGTAACTCATTGTGAACAAGATGGCGGAAAAATCAGGTTTGTACGAAATTCTTTGTCAGTTTTGCTTTATTTTCCCCGGTTTATGACACTTATAAACAATCTATAAGCCATTTTAAGGCGTGTAAGCATCTCCTGGACAATTTGAACGAGGTTAAAGAGTTGACATGACAATGTAAATCCTGTTATGGTTCAATTTTGATTCGTAACTGCTGGCTTCACATGCATGCAAATATAACGTTATAAAATATAATTTTTCATACCGCCTTTCTCGTTCAATATGTCACATAAATTTTTAATTTTTCCTCAATTTGTTTAGCAGTTATTGAAAAAATCTTTTAAAAAGTCGCATTCGCCCAAAGGCAGAAGTAGAAATATGATGTAGATGTATAGATATCAAGGAGCTTTCATCAAGTTATATTAAATAATTTTGAGCATCGCAAAATTTTGGTTCATAATTTTCTGTGCACATTTATTACTCCATTTTATGTGTGAAACGTTACTTACTAATTTGAAGCCATGTTGTTGTTGTTTTCAGCCACCCCCAATCCTTCTGAAGATGGGGAAGACAGAAACACAGAGAACAGTTCTCCTGAACATGAGTTCTCTGTACCAAAGAGGGAAATCTTGAGCCCCATGGACATGGGCAAGTGGCAGAAATCTCAGGCCTACAGGGACTACCTGGGGTTTGTGCTGACACTGAACGAGGCTGTGAAGGGGAAGTCCAGAACATGTGAATGCCATATTTCTGAAGTAAGTTGCTGACAGATCAAATTTACTATGTACGTGATATAATTAGTAATGTTTTGCCCCCAGTGTCCTTTTTCCTTACTTCCAATCATTCTCAAGAACTGATTTGAGCCTCAGGATCTGAGCGCTAGAGAAGAAATCTTGCTCTGGTAGTTTGTTATGGTAAAAGGAATACTAGTAATTGAAGTAACTTTTGCATGATAAAAACAAGGAGCTTATAGGGATAAGCTCCGTTATAAAAGTAAATGTAAACATAATGCCTAGATTTATCATAGGTTTGCTTGCTTCCCCATCTGTATTTTCGTTTTACCAAAGGTTTGCTTGTGTCTGTACTGTAGCCAACAGAGAAACTACTGGGCATTCTGGACACCCTGGACAGATGGGTGGATGAGACTCCTCCTGTAGAACAGCCCCAGAGATTTGGGAACAAGGCCTACCGTACATGGTTTCAGAGACTAGAAGAGGTATATTTCTTTCTTTATTTCTCTACTTTACTTTTCCATTGAGATAAAACACAGTGGAGGGGGAGACAAAACAGGGGATTGCCCCCTCTAGTCATTGTTTCCCTCGCAACATATAAGATACTTAAATAATGTTGACAGAAAATACAATGTATAATTTAGTAACTAAAAAAAGACAAAAAACTCAACATTTAAGGTTAATATCCTTGGTATGATAGTAATTTCAAGTACATGTAATTGATTGCATAACAATGAAGCATAACTAATAACTAATCTGTGATTGCAGAATGTGGAGTCCTTAGTCCAGCCCCTGCTGCCTGAGAAGTACCACACTGCAGGGCCTGAGGTGGCTGTGTACCTACGGGAGGGAGTGGGCAACAAGACTAGGATAGACTATGGCACAGGTTAGTACAGCTTTACACAACTTGGTTTATGTACAGGATAAATATGAAAGGTCGTAAGTTTTCTTACTCTTAGCCCATGGTCAATTTTTAGGATTATTCAAATGCTGAATTGTCATTTTGTAAATGCTTTGTACATTGTATCTTAAACAATAAGATCTTTGTTAAGTTTATCATTTTGCTAATTTTTTTGAGACCATGAAGACTTTGGCCATGTACTGATGAATTGTTCCAGTTACTTGTACTTATGTCTGTATTGATGATCAATTATACAAACCCTTGTTCAGACATAAGTACCTGCATCAATTTGATGCTGTGTTTGTTTTGTTCCATATGTACAGGACATGAGGCAGCCTTTACAGCCTTCCTCTGCTGCCTTTTCAAGTTACGGATCTTCACAGAAAAGGACATGCTGGCTCTCATCTTCAGAGTATTTCACAGGTACTTTCAACTTCATAACAAGAGTCAAACAACATGCACAGCAGATAAAAATCACACCACCTGAAAGACATTATAGGTTACTGGTATAACCTCTTTTGAAATACAAAACAAGCAAAAAGATAGAATTAGTATGAGATAATGGGACACGGTCAGTTGGTAGATAGAAATATGTTAACCTATTGCTTTCTGAGTGTATAGATAGATATATTGACTGATTGTTTGTATTGTTTTCTGCCTGCAGATATCTGGAGGTGATGAGAAAGCTGCAGACAGTGTACAGGATGGAGCCGGCCGGGAGTCAGGGAGTCTGGGGACTAGATGACTTCCAGTTCCTGCCCTTCCTCTGGGGGAGTTCACAGTTTTTAAGTATGGATTTGGAAGACTCTTATTTATTTATCTATTTCATCACAAGAAGCCTTGGCTGCCCTTAGAACTTGTAAAAGTTGTTTTTCAGGGGGGCCCAGCATGTACAGGACATTTTACATTATTAGGTGATGAGGCAAAATGGGTGACATTCAGCAGAAACAAATAAAGTCCCATGAGGCCAAGTGTCTTAAATTTCCTGCAAGGATCCTTGCATAGTACATACATACATACATACATACATATCCAGGTTTTGATTATTATAGTATTGCAGTATATTTCAACCAACGATTGTATAGGTGGCAAAGTTAAAGATGTTATGGATTGATTTTGGAATTTCATTTGTTTGACAGCTAGACAGAAAGCCCAAACTGTTATTTAAGTCAACCATCTGTGATAAGTCCCTCTATATGTTATGCATCCTAGTTTATTTATTGTCAATCGTTACCAACTTGATGTACTGATACTTTATGTACATTGATTTTCTACACAGATCATCCTACAATAGAGCCCAGACACTTCCCCCAGCTAGAGATTGTACAGCATCATCACACAGAGTACATGTTCCTGGACTGTATCAGGTTCATCAACACAGTATGTTATACCTCCATCTTTTCATTGCTTTCACATTCTACAAGTCTTGAGAAAGATCTTTTTCATCTTTTCATCTATTGACTTAAAGATGATCTTTTTTTAGATGAAGACAGGTCCGTTTGCAGAACATTCGCACACCCTGTGGGGCATCAGCGGTGTGCCTTATTGGGGCAAGGTCAACTCAGGACTCATCAAGATGTACAAAGCAGAGGTGGGTGCACTTCAGACAAGATATGATAGTTGGCACTGTTGTATCGAAACATCAGCCTGGATGATTTAGACTGCTAATGTTGAACAAGAATATACTGTAAATAGATCGGTTCATAAATAGTACATACAGTTCTTTTCACACAACCAAAGGTTGGTAGCAGGTCTACTAAATAGTTTCCTTTTGGTTATACAACAAAGAGCTGAGTTATCCAAATACATACTAAAGCATTTCCAACTGTATTGGAAACCATGTAAAGTTATGTCATTGAAAAATGTGGCTCACTCTTGCTGTTGTTGTCCTTACAGGTTCTGAACAAGTTCCCAGTTATCCAGCATTTCTTGTTCGGCTCTCTCCTGTCCATTCAACCTGCATGACACCTAGATGTAGATGTAGAACTCTTTTTCCTCTATGTGGTGCAGTATAGTCCATGCCACTTTCCAATAAGTGGGTTGTCACCATTCACTTGCAAATAAAGTCTTAAAAGAGTGTTTTCATGCAACATTGTTGTTGTGTCTACCACCATGTTGGTGTCCTAATTTGCATTTCAGTGCTCAAACATTTTCAGACATTAAAAGATCTACTGACCCTCTTAGTAATCACTACTAAGAATACTAAAAAAACTTGCCAGTAAAACACATAATGCTGTGTAGACTTAAGCTTGATATGCAAAAAGGACACCAACATAGAGTTCAGCACATGTCTGTTTCACTGATATGGAAAGTGAGAGAAAAGGCTCTATACAAACTGTGGACCCAGCAATCCCTCTGTCAAGTGTCAAGTATGCTTTAAGTTAAGTTGTTTTATTGTGAAAATGTTGATCTAAACATTTATAATGTGTTATAGCATGTCGACAGTAGAACCATGTTATATTGTTTCAAATGTATCATCTCACTTCATTGAGTTGTTTCCTGGAGTCCAACCTCAAATTTGACAATATTGTTCATTTGTGGACATTTGGTACCTAACTGGACCTGTTTAATTGTGAATTACATGTACTAGTATACATTCTACAGTTCAAAGGTCCTTTGACTGTTTAGAAAAGTCAATAAAATCAACACAAACCACCATGTCTTCTGCCTCTTTACGTTATGTACTTTATTTTTTCTATCAACATTTTATAGCAATAAAAGTACAGCCATCCACTCCTGAAAATCCAAAATTGGAATGCACAACTAGTGGCTTCTTTCACTTCTCGTACCATTTTGAGACTAATGAGAGTACAAATTATCATACCTGAACGTTGAAAGTGTATTTGCTACTATTTCTGCATCAAGATAGCAAGTTACAAGATAGGAAGTTACAATGTACATTAAAACATGTTTTACACAGTCAACCTGCTGATTACCAGTACTACAATCTTGACAAACAGTCTATTCCAAATACATTATGCAACTTCCATATCAACACTGTTTTCATACACAAACTGCGTACACTCTGACATATTTACTACAAAAGAAAACAGACATTTGTGCGATGTGTAATGCATGGAATTCAACCAAGTGTTCCAAGACACTAAAAAATATGTTTTAAATTCTGAATATTTCGAAAACATTAGATACATTTCTGCTAGAATCTTCTTGTCATCTGTTTCTTGAACTTCTCAAAGTGGAAGTCATCTGTCGCTCTTTCACCCGGCCTCTTCTTGGTTTGAGATGTTTCTGAGAAAATAAGACAAGACAATCACATGTTACTGGTAGGGGAGAAGATGTCAGATTAGAGCCATGCACATAGTACCATGTTTTATGGCTATTTTTTTTATTCATTCCATATCCCCTTCCCAACTTAAGGATTCTTATCTTATTACTCCACATACCTTCCATGACAGGTGGCTCGGTGTCCCCTACTTTAAGTGGGCGTGGTTTGGGTGCTTCTTGCTTCACAACCTTCTTGGTCTCTGTGTCCTCACGGTAAACTGCATAAGAATGGTTACAAGTTGCATCAGATGAGATGAATGCTGTTGTTGGCCCAGGATCATAATCTTGGAGACTTATTATTTCATCAATTACATCTGAGAAAGCTGACAGTCTTGGGTGAGAGACAAATTACCTAGTGAACAATAGTGATAAAACACAGCTTCTAAAGTTAACTTAAGGCATAACTAAACACAGCCCTACTCACATCTTTTGTGCTGTATACACTACACGAGATAGCCCTTAACTCACATTTGTTGTGCTGTACAGACTACACAAGGCATAGCCCAACTCACATCTGTTGTGCTGTACAGACTAAACAAGACAGCCATACATCTGTTGTGCTGTACAGACTACACAAGACAGCCCTGCTCACATCTGTTGTGCTGTACAGACTACACAAGACAGCCCTACTCACATCTGTTGTGCTGTACATAGTTGACAGCCATGTTGACAGGTACGAAGGACGTGCCCTTGTCCTTCTTCTTCCTCATCTGTTCCTGAAGTCTCTGCTTGGCGTCTTCAGTGGCTTCAATGTTTCTGATCTTCTCCCTGGGAGCAACAGCATCATACATTTAGTTTCTGCAGTATTAACTCTTTTACTTTATTTAGTTCAAGCTCCCACTCAAACCAAACAAGAGAGCTTCCTCCACAGTACTATATTCTCCATGGTCCTTCATAGGTCATTGGTATCTTGCAGGTTTGTATCACTATGTAGATTGTCTACGTAGGTGAGTCTGTGTCTTTCCCTACCTCTTTTCCTTTAATAGTGGACTGCCAGAGTACACTTTTGGAGTGTTTAATACAGTTAACAGCCATTCTGTGCTGTTGGAATTTCTTGGCAACAGATGGTAGGACTTGGTACAACTGTTGGTTTGTAAGCTTTTGCTACCATGAGATATGGAGAAACATGCATATCATGCAAGTGTATCAACTCCTAACATTAATAAATATAGACATTACAAGTAAGTAAACATTCGTCTTGTCAGTTAGTTGCATTGCTGCACTCATCCAAAATATACTACATCATATGATGAGGGTGTACTTACTCTATCCCAAGATCCACCTCAGGTATGCCACTCAGCATCTGATTGGACAACATCTCCTCAGACCTGGTGGATGTGGCAGCCTTCATAACAGAGAACAACTCAGTAAGTATGACAAGCCCTGATCTCTCAAGTTCCCAGCAGATTTTGGGGGCACAAGATCACAAATCAACAGGATTTTGGAAGAACTACAATGAAACAAGAGACTTGGACTGGATCCAACAAAATAAAAAGTTCTAAGCCATGTAATATACAATGGATACAAAGCTACAGGATTGAGATCGAATGGACAGCAACCAATACTGGTCATAGATGGGATATTCCAAACCTCACCTTTAATCTGTCTGGTAATTCATAAAGCAAATCTTCTGCTCCTTTCATCCTACAAGGAAGCAGCACCAAAATTTATCAGTATTTGAAATAACATTGTAGCAGCAAGAATGTCAAAACTATTTTCTACTACTAGATACAGTATGATCATCATTGCCAAATCCTACTATACTAATGTCATTATTATAAAGCAAATAATTCTTGGAGTGGACACAAGGTATATTTGACAAAACCTAAAAAAATTTTCTGTTTTCTTGCCATTTTTGTTGTATATTGTATATACATTTGTACCATGAGTAATGAATACTTTCACTTACTTTGCTTGGCTTGCCTCCTTTTCCTTTTCTTGGCCTTTTCGTTTCTTCATCTCCACTTCAATGTACTTCATCCTGTATGCACAAGTTTTTATATAGAAATTCGAATACTTCATTACCTTCGCCAAGAAGGTTATGTTTTCAGAGGCGTTCGTGTATGTGTGTGTGTGTGTGTGTGTGTGTGTCTGTCAACACGATAACTTGAGAAGGCTTAAATGGACTGACTTGATATTTGGTAGGTGGGTAGGTCTTGATGAAACCTCAAAATGATTAGATTTTGGGCCACCTGGCGGCTTGTCATGGTACTGCAGCAGAACTTCCGGTTTTGATATCTCATGATCCAGACATGCTAGGGTGACGAAATTTAGATGGTAGATAGCTCTTGTGCTGGGGATGAAGTGACATGAGTATGAGCCCCCTAGTTGCTTGCTCTAGAACTGCAGGGGGGTTTAAAGGACAAATGTTTAAAAGAGGATAACTCAAGAACCGATTGATGGATCATCGTGATTTTTGGTATGTAGGTAGCTTAAGTGATGCTTGACATAATGATATTACAATTATGCAAATATTGATGTAATTTGCATAATTAATGAGGAAATTCTATAAATCAGCTGCATTCCATGATAGGAAGTTCAAGCTTGTAACATATGTTATTAAGAACGAGAGAAACACAGGCAAATATCGATTATGCAAATGAAGACTTAATTTGCATAATTAATGAGAAAATGTTATAATTGCATAGTGGTAACTGCCTGGAATTTCATACTTGGGGTGTTTGAAAGTTAAGTGAAGGTGAACATAATTAAACATAACTTATTCAAATAAGGACCACATTTGCATAATTTATGAGAAAATGGCATTCTTTGTTAAGATAAGACTGTCTTTTGGTGGAGAATATGATCAACAGACTGATATAATTCATGCAATTGAGGATCCTATTTGCATAATCAGGGTGATTAGTATATTTCTTATTCATAAAGGCTAACATCATTTGGCGAAGGTATGAGATCGTGGAACTCTAGTTAAATATTTTTTTCTACAGGAATTCATCTTGACGAAAGAGTGGCATTTTAAAATATGGCAGAGAAAATGATTTTACACCAATTTAGCTCTCTGAAGTGACAGGAAAAACAGACAAAATGTGCTATACATACAGGTTCACTGTACCAGGAAAATTCCCTTGTTCTTTTCAAAAACCAGTGGACCACTGTCTGACACCTAGGCCTAAAGACTACATACCATTCCAATACTACCGGTACATTTTTGTACTGGGTTGTAGAATACTTGTCATCTTAGTTAGAATTCAAACCCCCAACCACTAGTTTCAGAGGCAGATGGTCCTAGGCCCTGCACACTGTTTCTAAATTATATTAAATTGGCAAGCTCCTTAGTCTTTGGGATCTTACATCTCCGCATGCTCATCTCTGGTGTTGGTCTCAGCGGAGAAGGATGTTCCCAAATCTGACAGGTCCTTGTCATCCTCTTCTCCTGTCCTGTGTTTTACAAAGGAAACATACATGTAAGAGCAGACATTGTAGGAAATATGGATCTCACTGGAAACTGTTTTATTTTACATTTCACAGATGATGACAATAGACATAGCAAAAAAGTTCCTCATAGCAGTATCTCGAATTGTATCTGAACTAACCAGCATATTTGGTACAAAATGTGTTTGGTATTTCAACTTTCAAGAACATGAATGTGAACAAAAACATACCTGTCTCTGTTCCTGTCTTTGATAGCTTTCATGTCCACAAAACCTCCAGTCCTCAACTTGAAGGGGTCATTCTAGAAGGGTGGAGTGGGATGCAAATTGTAAGGCAAGACCAGAAACTGCTGCACGCTGTTATTTTGTAGATTCCTTCTCAATACAAGTCAGAGCTTATATTTTACAATCAGGTTGACATGTTATCTATCCATATAGTATACAAAATGCACTTGAAAACAGCATACAAAAGTTTTAAACATCGACACACAGTTGCAACATAGACGAAAATGTTCTCATGTTATTACTTTTTGATCGTTTGTACAATGAAATTTATTTTGTGCAAGATCATGGAGGCCTCATTCTAAATTATTGTAGAAGTTTCATAATTATATCTAAATCTAAGTATAATATCTTATTTCAATACAACTTTAAAACTCACAACAAGAGCAGCATTTCCAGAGAGCTTCTTTCCAAGTGCCAAGGCTGCAGCACTGTGTGGAAAATCAACATATTACGTCATGGCAGAAATCAGAAATTAGCCCTTTCTTAAATTCTTTGTTCCATGGTCTAAACGTCGACGTTCACAAGTAAATACCAAGAGCTTGTACCTGACTCCCTTGGGTCGCTGACGGAACTTCTGGGCTTCCTTTGCCTCCTCCAGAATCGAACTGTAATAGAAATCTTATAGTAGTTAGTAAACCTCTAGTACTAGTGGTAGAAAAAGGTGGGGAGGGGGGCATATGTATTACGTGCCGTTTTTACGACGTTTTCCAGCATTTCCAACAAATCTTATACATGTAAGTTAATCTGTCTTATACATAGCACGATAGAAATGGCACCAATCACGTACAGACCTCACTTCCTGCACAGATTCCTCCTCCTCGTCACTAGATTCCCGACGACGGCGGAAATTTTTACGCTTTTGCGACGCCATCTTGAGGTTATTTGAGGTCACGGACCATGAGCCTCTAATCTCCAAGCAGATGTGAGATGCGCCTGCTTTTGGGAACAATAACAACAAGGAACACAATAAAAATCCTTATCATGGCGACGATTAAATGAATATTGATGTAATCTTTTTTCTGTTGATTTTTCTAAAATTAAAGAGGTTGAAGAAACCAAACTTAGTTGGTCTTGTAGCTGAAGAGATATCCTTTCGTCCTATATACAGTTATTCTCCTTCCGAATTATTCATGGCCACGGCAGAGACGGTCGCTAGACTTGAGAGTTTGCAGCTTCAAATAGAAATGCCAAATAAACTGGGGTGTGCCCTCTTAATAGTTGCACTTTCCTATTCTAGCACATTTTCAAAGCCCAACGGTTCACTCATGTATTAAAAATTCACCTAGCTATATCTGGTGACACGTAGTTCACATGTGCAAAGTACCACGGATGCGCCGTAGTCCTCAAAACGACATGGTACCATCCTCTCAGTTTTTAAAGACACAGCAATGAACTTTATTGTGTGACCTTTTTTTGTTCACTGGCTTCCATGTGGCGTCACCTATTGCTATGTCAAGACACAGCCTACTATTTCTCACCTTCAATTGATTAACTCATTACGTACAAGAATTACGGAATTTACGGCTAGGGCATAATCCAGAACTACATCTATAATGTAATCGTTGTTTACCCAAATGCACACGACATTTACACCATTGATAATGACATTACACTGCCCGGGGGCCTGCATGCCATTTTTAGTAAGGCGTAATCAGGCCATTTTAGTCTTCCTAATCCGTAGGCTCTCGCCCCAAAATGTAGCCTCTACCAGGCTTCGGGAGGCGGCTGGAAAGAGTAGAAATCGGCCAAATAGAGAGATAACATGTCAGGGTAGTTGGTCCGATAGAGAGAACTATTTGAAACTAGTTATCCTGCGACAATACGTTAGATTTTTTTAAATATTCCAACATTTCATGACTAGACATGGTGACTCTTTTAATGCCGCCATTAACGCAGAGGACGAATACATGTACAGGACAAGGCAATACTCATTTTCACTTGAGTTAGCCTTGGGTTGGAATTAGAGCTAAGTCCCAAAGGGATAATGTCACGGAATCCCTTTGCACGGGAGTATATAAAACTGCCGCAAACTATATGGGTTGTCCTTCAATGGTTAACCGGTTAGAAATGTTAGGTTCATCGATCATGCAGACTGGGTGATTGCGTGGCGGGTCTGCACGGAAGTATCTCCAACATTGACGTCAATTTTGCCTCAGAGATGGGGAATGTTCACTGTACAGACATTCTAAACATCTGACAACGTCTGAGGAACCTGCAGCTGCCGTCTGTTGATTTGAACAAGGATTACCCCACTAGTAGGCAAATTTGTTCGCATGCGAGAAGTCTATTACCACGCTAAGTATATCATAAGGTACGTAATTTAACATTTTTTCATACTCATAACAGAGTGCTGCTATGGCTGCTGACTCTGTTTGAAAACAGATTCACAGCTTTGGCGCGTGACTACAGGCTTTCTTTCACATACAAGGTGTTACTAGTACCAACCTTTTTGTTCAGAAAGTAGTTAATTTGAGTGGACATGAAATTTACACTATACTACCTTCATTTCTCACGGCTGTGCCACTTAAAAACACACAAATTGATTAGCTTAGGCCAGGTTCCGTCGATTTGGCCCACGTATGATCCAACTCTGAGTGAAAGAAAGAGTCCAGGGGCTGGGTTGAGCAACCTTATTTACATGATCTGTCGCAAAATCCGGTTATCGCATACTGTAAAATCGAGGACAAAGGAAAGGTTTATGAAATATATTCCTTTATTCTGATAATCATCATCATTTTTTGTCAAATTATGAGCATGTTGGGCCTGCGTGACACCACAAGTAGTAGTGTCAGCTCGTTCCCATGGAAGGATGCCTAGGCAGGACCATATACGGAATAACCACCACTGAAGACGTGCTTCTCGTTCCCAACCAGCGCGGGGAAGAAGGTACAGATGGTGAAGGCGTCTCCCTCCGGCACGGCGTAGTGCGGGTCGTGCTGGTCCATCAGGAAGGCGGTCCCCTCGGGATGGAACGCCGCTTCCTCCTTCCCCTCCTCCCAGACGTACTTGCCGTTTCCTACAGAAACAAGACGTTTTGAGCTAGAGTTGCTATTTTTTTGGCGACGTCTCAGGGAGGAGCCTAATGGTACAGTATTGTTTGCAATTTGCAAGAATTCTAGGAATTGTACAGGAATTTTGTCCACAGGCATGGAATACCCACAGGGAACTTCCAGTGCCATACATTTGTGATGAATATTTACCTCTGAAGTAGTAGGTTGCTTCTTTATGATGTTTGTACCACATGGGGACCCCCTTTGGAGTATCAGCGCAGGTCCTGATTGACGTGTTGGTCACCGTGATGGGAAAATCGTCATCCCTGAGCAAGAATCTTCGGCTGTGGCCGCTGCCGAAGTCAACATCCCGATCGGTTCCGATGATCTCCGAGAGGGACCGAACAACTACTCGGTCAGACGAAGGGTTGTCGTCTTGACAGTACACACAGTAAAGCCTCATATGGTCTTCCGGGGTCACTGTAATCTTCAACACAAGGGATTAAAGACATTTCGTGGTATTTACTTGATTTTTAGGATTCTTTTGACTACCTGAGACATCATTAGAACTTGTTTCAAGACTGTTGTTGATAGTTCTAGTTTTAATTTTAGTTATCTATCATTTGCTATTTTGCTATGTTTATCTGTATCTGTATCTGTATAGCCGGTATAACCGCCTTTCGGCGTAACACACCAGCTTCGCAGGCACGCGGCGCGGCGGCAGCTGGCTATATTACACCGATCGACTTGTTACACCTAACCCTTGAACTTCTAGCTCTAGACATTGTTTAAAGCTATCTATTGACAGTGCCCCTACTGTACTTGGTGACAGTGAGTCAGTGAGTTATCACTAGTATATTTCAGTGAGGCTACAATGACTTGCAATTGAATTTCAATTATGACATCCAGCAGGTGTGCACCGATTTTTCAGCAAAAATTTGCTACTTTACCGAGATGGCATCCAGCCTGAGTGCCACCCTAGTCTCTACCAGCCTCCCATGCTAACTCTGTTTGCCCAGTTTCTACAATGTTTCCAGCTAGTGTGTGTGTGTGTGTGTGTGTGTGTGTGTGTGTGATGTTGTGTGTGTGTGTGTGTGTGTGTGTGTGTGTGTGTGTGTGTGTGTGTGTGTATGTGTGTGTGTGTGTGTGTATGTCTGTGTGTGTGTACATCTGTGTGTGTGTGTGTGTGTGTGTATGTGTGTGTGTGTCTCTGTGTGTGTACATCTGTGTGTGTGTGTGTGTGTGTGTGTGTGTGTGTGTGTGTGTGTGTGTGTGTGTGTGTGTGTGTGTGTGTGTGTGTGTGTGTGTGTGTGTGTGAGTGTGTGTCTTGTGCATGTGAGATCACCTTGCACTGAACAGCCGACGAGAACGAGAGGAAAACATCCTGAGCGACATCAAACTCCCTCCCGTCCCCCAGACTGCAGCGCCCCCTGCCGGAGATGCAGTAGTACATGTGGTTCTCGGTCCAGCCTTCACCCCCTGAGCACAGCTCGCTCTGGTCCCGAGTCAGCAGGATCTCGTACGCCGTGATGCCCATCTCGTCTGACGGGGACACCAACTCTTTCCCCCGAAGGATTGGTATGTGTGATACGGGGGCTAACGGGACGTCTACGATATTGCGGACGATCATGACGACACTTGTGCAGGAATGTACTGTTGTGGAAATGACAAGAAGATACCCTAAGGCAAGCATGCTTTGTAAAAAAAGGGGTGTGTATCCGTGAAGCGCTTTTCTCTTCTTTCCTTACCATCATCATTACGTTGGACATATTGAGGTTTCAGAATGAGAAAAGGTAAATCATAAATTTACTACTGTCGTTTGACATTTCAGCCCATAGAGCCGCTGTGAACTAGAAACTAGACTAAGAAATCTTACCCACCTGTTCTATGGTTCAACCTTTGTTTTGTCTTGGTGAACAGATTAGAGACCAGTTTCAACCGGCTATTCAAGGGGGCATGACCTGTACAGCACTACATCCCAGGAAGCCAAAACAAAAAGTCATCGGAAATAGTAGAAGGTAATTAACCAAGCTTGAACATTCTATTAATTTTTTTATCGTCCCGCTGGCTCTCATTTTCTGGTACGTATTGCAGAACTTTGTCTTTAAACTCTCTCTAACTAGGAACTAGACTAAGAAATCTTACCCACCTGTTCTATGGTTCAATCTTTGTTTTTTCTAGGTGATCAGATTAGAGACCAGTTTTAACCGGCTATTCAAGGGGGCATGACCTGTACAGCACTACATCCCAGGAAGCCAAAACAAAAAGTCATATTGGAAATAGTAGAAGGTAACCAAGCTTGAAAATTTTATTCATTTTTTTTTATCCCACTCAGCAACAAAAAAATTGAATAACAACTACATATACATCACCACCTGTTCATTTTACCCAGATAGTAAATAGAGTGGTAAGGTATGTTTTGATCTATCTCTTGCTTGGCCCAGTTTAAACGGAACAAAGTCCACCTCTATGATGCTTCATCAATAATGGTCCAAACAAAAGCCACCGTGGCGCCTGCCAAACTTGACTGAAGCCAAACCTAACAAGAAGCCATAGGTGACAATCCTCCGTGAAGTTTTATATATTTCAACAAAAACAATCCCAAGCGTCAACGCCAGACCTACTGTGCAGACATTATAATCAGGCAACGGTTAATACAATGAGGGCGCGTCACAAGCATAAAACATACAAAGAGCTAAATCCATTACTGCTCCCAGGGCGTGTAAAGATACTGTGCTTCAAGTTCGAAGTTCATTTTAATTACACACACACAATCATTGCATTCACATAAAGATCGGACTATCATGGTCGTGTCTAGTAACAAAGACAGCCCCACCGTCTTAGGGACTGTACGATATTTAGCGGGGGGGGGGTCTGGTGCGTAGGGGGGGGAGGGCCGATGGAAAAAATATTTGGCATATGGGGGAGGGCCATGGAAAAAAATCGGGGCTGGGGGGAGGGCCATGGAAAATTTGTTTTACGTATCCGTCGTACGATCCTACGTTCCTAGCTCTGAAAATGTGCAATGCTTCTCGGAAAAGTGTCCCTCAAAATGCAGGAAATAATGTTCAGAGGGTCAACTTTTACACATTTTTCCCGAACTCTCGCGCCTTCGGCGCTCGACAGAATCTTACGGCTAACAAAATTGAGATGACGGACGGGAAAAATCAGGCTGGCTAGAACACTGATTATCGAAAAATAACAAAAAAATGAATACTAAAGCATGTAGGTCTAAGACTAGCACATTAACCAAGAAACACCGGTTCTTTTACAGCAGGCGACGCCCTGACGCTCAAATCTGGCCTGCTTTGTGCTGTTATACTAAAACGTGATTTGTTTTAAGTTTTTTTTACCATTTTTACTTACCGCAAATTCCCGACTAATGTACGTACTTCTTAAACTTTTCAAAATCCCCAATGTGCCTCGGGCCGTCGCCAAAGTCGGGGTGCGTACTTTATTTGAGATTTTCCCCCGACAAATCCGTGGACGACCCAGGAATATAGCGGAACACCGGCACGGGAAGCTTGGAACGAATTCGTCCCAAGCATGTTTAGATAACAATATGGACGAGTGGAAATAAAGTTAACCTTCAATAAATGAACATATTTCCTCTGACTATCGTCGATATTTACACCAAGTTCCGGTAAAAGAAGTCAAGTCAAGCAGTGCACGGTAAG